ACTTGAGCTTATATTCTTTCTTAGTAAAAGTCCACATTCAAAATTAAACAATTTTTACCAGCTCCTCTTTTGGGGAGATTGTTAAAAAATAGTGTATTCAATTTAAATTAGTATTCTTATATCTTAAATTAAAATGGTTTTAAAAAAAAATACTTTTTAGTAAATACTATTTTAAAAAAGGCCGAGAAAATATATAAAAATTTATTAGTATCTCTTCTGTTGCTCACCGATTATGTGTACGCCAGCGAGATGAATCTCTTCTGTTGCTCACCGATTATGTGTACGCCAGCGAGATGAATCTCTTCTGTTGCTCACCGATTATGTGTACGCCAGCGAGATGAATCTCTTCTGTTGCTCACCGTTTATGTGTACGCCAGCGAGATGAATCTCTTCTGTTGCTCACCGATTATGTGTACGCCAGCGAGATGAATCTCTTCTGTTGCTCACCGATTATGTGTACGCCAGCGAGATGAATCTCTTCTGTTGCTCACCGTTTATGTGTACGCCAGCGAGATGAATCTCTTCTGTTGCTCACCGATTATGTGTACGCCAGCGAGATGAATCTCTTCTGTTGCTCACCGATTATGTGTACGCCAGCGAGATGAATCTCTTCTGTTGCTCACCGTTTATGTGTACGCCAGCGAGATGAATCTCTTCTGTTGCTCACCGATTATGTGTACGCCAGCGAGATGAATCTCTTCTGTTGCTCACCGATTATGTGTACGCCAGCGAGATGAATCTCTTCTGTTGCTCACCGATTATGTGTACGCCAGCGATCTGTTGCTCACCGATTATGTGTACGCCAGCGAGATGTTGCTCACCGATTATGTGTACGCCAGCGAGATGTTGCTCACCGATTATGTGTACGCCAGCGAGATGTTGCTCACCGATTATGTGTACGCCAGCGAGATGTTGCTCACCGATTATGTGTACGCCAGCGAGATGTTGCTCACCGATTATGTGTACGCCAGCGAGATGTTGCTCACCGATTATGTGTACGCCAGCGAGATGTTGCTCACCGATTATGTGTACGCCAGCGAGATGTTGCTCACCGATTATGTGTACGCCAGCGAGATGTTGCTCACCGATTATGTGTACGCCAGCGAGATGTTGCTCACCGATTATGTGTACGCCAGCGAGATGTTGCTCACCGATTATGTGTACGCCAGCGAGATGTTGCTCACCGATTATGTGTACGCCAGCGAGATGTTGCTCACCGATTATGTGTACGCCAGCGAGATGTTGCTCACCGATTATGTGTACGCCAGCGAGATGTTGCTCACCGATTATGTGTACGCCAGCGAGATGTTGCTCACCGATTATGTGTACGCCAGCGAGATGTTGCTCACCGATTATGTGTACGCCAGCGAGATGTTGCTCACCGATTATGTGTACGCCAGCGAGATGTTGCTCACCGATTATGTGTACGCCAGCGAGATGTTGCTCACCGATTATGTGTACGCCAGCGAGATGTTGCTCACCGATTATGTGTACGCCAGCGAGATGTTGCTCACCGATTATGTGTACGCCAGCGAGATGTTGCTCACCGATTATGTGTACGCCAGCGAGATGTTGCTCACCGATTATGTGTACGCCAGCGAGATGTTGCTCACCGATTATGTGTACGCCAGCGAGATGTTGCTCACCGATTATGTGTACGCCAGCGAGATGTTGCTCACCGATTATGTGTACGCCAGCGAGATGTTGCTCACCGATTATGTGTACGCCAGCGAGATGTTGCTCACCGATTATGTGTACGCCAGCGAGATGAAACTGCATTCAGGTATTCGACAAAATGCATCCCTCTCATTTAAAGTTATCAAAATGGTTGAAGGGGAGTGGCTCACCGAGGTCCTTCCCAGACGTCTCCGGCAATTTTATGCGGGAGTCTTTGTCAGCGTTGATTTCTGATCTCCTCACCCCATGAATGACAGTGGCGGCACTTATCTGGCGGCACTTATCTAACGTATATGAAGGCACTTATCTAACGTACCTGACAGCATTTATCTACGTATCTGACGGCAATGATCTAACGTATCGGATGGCACTTATCAAACGTATTTAACGGCACTTATCTAACGTATATGAAGGCACTTATCTACATGTATCTGACGGCACCTATCCAACGTATCTGGCGGACTTATCTAACTTATCTGACGGCACTTATCAACAATAAGAACTGGATGAAAAAATTGATCTCAATTAAATTAATCCATACAATTGTGTATGTATGTGTGTCATGTGTTGATGTATTTTGAAAATAATGTGTACTAAAAACATATAAATAATTCTGTACATCAATTATTTGGTGTATATATCATTTGATAGATGTAATGAAATGCGGGCCCCCGATGAATTGACAGGCGACCAAAAGCCATTTGGGTTGGTCACCCCCATGCTCAAAACGATTGGTCGTGTCAACATTCGCATGCGCCTACATGGATGATTAAAAGTTATTTATTCGCAGTCAGTTAACATAAGTTATTAATGTTATTATCCTGAAAACAGATTTGTACACGTTATAAATAGGTAATCACGAAAATAATGCTGTTTAAACCCAATATGTGGGCCAAACATCGGTGGTTCGTTTAGTGGCACACATTATGCGGCCTACTTTTACGGTGTAGGCCTACAAAACAGATGCGTACTTTGGTATAATTTCACTGCACATGGAAAGGCCAATACACCCATGTCATAATATGCCCCATGAGCTTTTTTTTTCACCACCGCGGTCAGCTTCGAGAGTTATTCGTCTGACTCATTGTCACAGAACTTCTATCCCACCCACCCCACCTCTCCACTTCCAACCAGGGCCGTCACAAACGAAACTCTGTATACACCAATACATATATGTTGCATGAACAATGGCGATTTTGGCCCCCTCAGGAGGTCTGCATAGACGAGTTACCCCTTTCGCCCTTCCCTATAACACACGACCATTTTTTGCCAAGACCCAATTTCAACGGCATAACTAGCTTTAGATAGTTTAAATATAGGTCACCCTAAAAGTAACGGGGGGCCCCTCTTCGACCTGGACTTTGAACCCTGCTTGAGATTTAATCATACGGAATTTGCTTTTTTTTTAAATACTCATCATCTCATCTCACCACTACCGAAACAAAGAAAAGAAGATGAGTGTATGAGTGTATGAGTGTATGTAAACATTGCTGATGGCAACCTGCCAATCTATCGTTTTGTTATTCTTAACACTCATTCTAACAAGGGCAGGGTTTGAGGGGGTTGGCAAACGTTTCTCTTTTGTTTTGTTTTGTCAAGGGGTCGTTCGTAAAATTACGTCAATCTAAAAATGACATTTTTAGAAACCCCCCTCCCCCCCCCCGTCACTAAGGGTGTCACAAATTCTTTACCCCCCCCCC